TGTTATTAAGTTAGTAACACAGTAAAAGAATGAATGAATGGAAAATCTTGCAATAACTACTAAAGAAGCTAAAGCAGATTAAAATAAATGCTTACAGGGCTGGGGATTTAGCTCAGCGGCATAAGCACCTGCCTTGCAAGCAAGTGGTCATGAGTTCAATCCCCGGTACCGATTAAAAAAAGAGAGAAAGAGAGAGAGAGAAAATGCTTACAAGAAAAGCCTAAATAAATTACTTACATCTTACTGAAACTCTATCAGACAAGTGAGATGCTGAGCAGTCTCTATTTTAAGGAGTTCATGCAAATTAATACAGGTCTACAGTTCCTTTCCCAAAGTTCTTATAGTCAAACATGTCCTCAAAGTCAAAGCCTTAGAAATTTTGACAGGCGACACGGTGTAAGTATGCTCTAGTGAAGACTGGGCCTGTAGAGACACTTGAGGCAGTTCACCACAAATCAAGCATTTGCTATTCTTGCAGCCAACCCTACTAATACTTGACATAAAGACAATGGTTCAGGACAGCTTTTGTGAAAAACTTATTTGTCCTGAATATACAAAAATTGTATTATCATGTGCTGATTTTCAGGAACTCACAGTAATTCTAGAAGTATCACAAAGGTTCACAAACAACATGTCCTCTTAACCCTATACAATGTTAAATCTCTCTACCACAAATCTTCTGGGGCAGTTTTCAGAAATCTAACTCTTATGATTTGTAGAAAAACTGCCAAATTCAAACTTGCCGCCAGACCCCCCCAAAAGAAATCTAATGAACTGAATGTATTGAACTCATCAAAAAATAGATTGCTCCCATTCTGTTGGAAGAAAAATACTGTAACTGATGAAGAGGATCCTGATCCAGGAAGCAGCATCAAATGAGTCACAAAAAGGACTTCAAAAAAAATTCAATTTGTCATAGTTAAAATAAGCATATAAACTCTTATTATCATGGTATACTTATATATATACAATTACTGATTATACACAATATAAGCAACATACAGTAACAATAACACACTACTACTAAGATAATAAAATACTTCCACTGAGGGAGAAACACAGGTGGGTCCTAGTCAAGAATGGTACAAAAGAGTAAAGAAGTGCCTAAAGGCCCTTTCAACCCTTGAAAAAACAACTCAATGATGTAAATATAATAATTATAGTCTAAAATGAATAGCTTAGTGTCAGAAGCATGTATTATTTTCTTATAATGTATAGCAACTTTAAAAATATATTTGTTTTTATCACTTAAGTCTCAAAATTTCCTATGACATCTTGACTTAATTTATTCTTGATGAATTTCCCTTTAACAAACTGTAGAAATGTTCCAACTTACTTACCAAAAATTGCTAATACACAATAAATGCAGTGGCCTTTAAGGATGCTGTGTATAAAGCTATGCAAAGTCATTTTTTTTAACGTGTTTTCTAGCTAATACTGTCTAACAGTTCTTTTTGTGTCAGGTTTACACCTCATGCACAATTTTAAAAGACAGATTAAAAATGAAGTTTTTAAAAATTTTAAAAAGTTTTATATACATATACATATACATATATATATATATGTAAAAGAAAAAGGAAATCAGTTGTTTTCATCCCCACATCAACTATAATAGCTTTACAGAAATCCTAAACTACATCGTTGCCCTAGTCTTATCCCTAGGTTAAAACATAAAGTGGCATGAGTAAGACTCCAGTATGTCCTTTTTTTTTTAATATTTCAAGAAAATTTTAACAGAAATTTGGGCTAAGAATCATTGGTACAAGCAGCAATTCTATACAAACCATCTTCTCATCTATGAAAGGACTAGCATCCCCTCTTTACAGTCAAGAATGCAATGATTATTGTTAAAATGGTCCATTTTTCTTCTCTCCTTTTCTTTTTCGGAGGAAAAAAAAAACCCTGATTTTTTTATTTAAACTTCTTAAACTAGTTCATACAGTAAAATTTATTCTCACTTATTTGATATTCTCATTCCCAAATACTAAAGACTTTTTCATTAGTAAGTTAGCAAGATTTGTTTATAATATATAATAATAAGCAAATACATAACACATATTCTAGTAAATTAACCTTGAATTACTAGAAAGTATTCAAAACTATGATTTTAAATAATTGATTACATTTGATACTTTAACCACAAAAATGAATCTCAATTATATGAAGATACACGAGACACAACATATCCTAATACTATATGCTATTATGTTAAAAGAATTTAGTAAGTAATCTATCATTTCTTTAGGTGAAAATTAGTATCACAATATTTCACATCTTTAAGATTTACATATTTGGGATGTGGGAAAGCATACTATATTTTGTTTCTTGGTAAAAACAAAAATACACATCTATAAATATCAGGATTTGTTTTTTAATGCCACCTACCATAGGTATCCACTAGTTTCATCTGCAGAATGATGCTGGGCTACTTTCACACCCCAAATTAAAATTTTATTAAAAAGATCTGAATCCATGTATTTGTATACCATAAGACTAGTGGCCATGATGCCCATTCTGGTTTCTATGATGCCCATTCTGGTTTCTATGATGCCCATTCTGGTTTGACTATTATCTTCTTTTGAAGTCCTGTAATGCCTCCAATGTTTTGGTTTTACTGGTCTTTTCTGTACTGTTTTGTTCAATGTTATTATAACTGGTGATATAGGCAATTCTTTTCAAGATAGCAAGAGGCATTATGGTAACCACTGTTGATCACCTTGCATTCTGTTTTTACATCATGTACTATGTCCATCCTTTTGTTTTGACTGACTCTGTTTTGTTTTGTCACATTTGGTTTTATTCTCTTCAAAAAAAGTAATAAGAACTGTGGCAGTAATAAAACCCAAAATGTGTAATTGTTATTGTAAAAAAAGAGGGAAAAGAAAGTGCTCCAAAGGCTATAACTGCATGTATATTTAAGTGTGTAAGATAAAAAACCATATTATTAAATTTTTGTTGGATCACTGAACAGAGAACTGTTTGCAGTCTCACTGTTTGAATGTCCACTTTGCATGCTTTAATTTTGTAACTTGAACAACTATTTCTAAGATGACAATATGTAATATTAACTAGTGATTTCTTACTGTTTATTTTTTTGAAATTCTGTATTACTTGTACCTTTTTCTGTTTTGTCTTTTTTTTTTCTCTTTAAAATTTTTTTTTAAAAAAGACTAGTGGAATATTGTGAAATTTCTCTCTTCTCTCCATTACATTACATAATATATTTGCCTGCTACTTGAAAGCACAAAATTTACTGCTAGAATAAGTATTTCACAGAAATATAAAATAAACATGGCACAAAACATGCTATAAGGAAAAACTAAAGATTTTCACTTCCCTTTCCATTAAAAGATACTCTGAATATAACTTTAACTCTAACGTATCACTAACACACTGTCTAGGATACTATCTAAAGTCAAAACTAAACAAGTTTTAAAAATAGATATCACAATTAATTACTTCAAAATATACAGAAGTTCATTACTTTTACAAAGTACACTTGTGCCAAAAGGTATCACATGACCAGTATCACCTTAAAAATTTAAGGTAAATAATTTCAATAAACTCAGTTTTAAAAATAAAGAAAATTACAAAGTATCAATGCTTTTAGAGACATTGTATTTAAGGCAGTACACAATGAAAGTAGAATTGTGTGATAAAACTCTAAGGTGGTAGAAAATATTGTCCTTACCATTAAGATTCTATTTACTTACCTCAAAAAATTTATTATTTTTGATGGTAGTAATAATTTATTGTTGAAAATCGAAATACAAAGAAGTATAAACAAAAAATCATTTCATATCCTCCATTTATAAATGTCATTAACATACTATGTATGAATAAGCATATATATGCATCTATACATATGTTCCAGTGCTGGTGAACCTTTTAGAGCTTTTAATGATACAAAAACCTCACTGTGGGATGCATGCCATAGGTTCACCACCTCTGATATATTTCTTTTTTTTTCACATACATTGAGAATAGAAAAATGTTTACATTAATTTTCTTGAAAATGTAAATATATAAATTGTTCACAATACCATTCTATTTCAGCTTTTTTCAAGCAGGCCAGGTTTGAGATTATTTAATGTTTCTCTGTGTTGTTATTCCTTAAAGAGTACATGAAAAATCTGTTTGATGATTTGAGAGAGAGACAGAGACAGAGACAGAGACAGAGATGGAGGCACAGAGAAAGACACAGACAGGAGATAAGAGAGAAGACAGACAGACAGACAGACCAAGGGAGAAACAGAGACACAGAGACAGAGGTAGATGGGGGAGAGAGGAGAGAAGAGACAGACAGACAGACAGACAGACAGACAGACAGGAAGGGGGGGCAGTCACTAGCACTACATTTTTCCAAAGCCTAACAAGCAGGTATCTGTATTAAAATGGTTGGCTGACTGAGCTTGGCCCTGAACACATCTGCAATGTGGACAGGATTCTTTTTATGGCCTCCCACTTCTTGGTCTGAAAGAATCCTAGCAATTAGGACAGAAGGGTTGTCATCCATGTGTGCACCTTGACCACTTCTCCGACCTCCCTGACTCACTTCTAAAGCTCCGTGATTCTCCCATCTCCCTATGTCTCCATCACCTTTTTCCTTACTCTCAAAATAGGTAAAAACCATCCTTGCCTCACAATGCCCTTAAACCTCCGTAACTCGAAATCTGTCTAACAAGGTGCATCCTCTGTGCACTTACTCTCCACCTGATACAAGAACCAAAGCTGACGAGACCAAAGGGACGGGCAATATTCTAGCAACTCAGAAACAAACTTAAATACATTTAGCCACACAAATCTTTTACTTGAAATTAGTTTTATGAGTTTCATGGGGAAAATAATGTATATACTCTTAAACTTAGGTAACTTATTTCACAGACTCAAAGTAAGTCGATTAAAAAGTTGCCATGATTTCTCTTATATGAGAAACCTAAAAAATAAAGGATAAATAACAGGAAATAGGGAGAGCTTTTCAAAATGGAGAGGGACTCGGGATGGAGAGAGGGGTTAGGGGGAGAGAAGGGGATGAAGAAAGCACTGTCATGCGTGTGTACCAACAGCCCACGGTAAACGGAATCATGATGCAACATGAACATGTACCAATAAAAATAAAAACTGGGAAAAAAGCTGGAAGTGCTTTTAGCTCTGAAATTATTCAAAGACAAGCATAGTCCAGACAGTAACATGAAAGCACCTTTCGAATCTTTCATCCATTATATTTATATAACACTTTAGAGTTCAAAGTGCATCCGTATGCATTATTTATTTTCATTCCCCAAACAAGCAGATATAATGGTCACTATTGATCACCTCTCTAACATTCATTTCTCCCACATTCTTCCTTCTCACAATATTTTTAAAATATCCTCCCTCCATCCATTAAATCATGAAAGTGACCCTTGACAACAGCAGGGTACATGTCCTGATGCACAGAAACCAGTCATGACAGCCCTGATTCCGTGTTAGAACTGGTTAAGAAGTGAACACTATCTAATTTGGTCAATAAAATATGAAGAGAAAAGTAAGCCAATGGGCTTATTCAAAACATTTTCTCACTTTTACAAGAGAGACGGCAGAAAAAAGCTCCACTGCCTGTCTGGTCATGGCGCGTCTGCAAGTGACCTTGCCTCGAGTCTAAGGATGGACACAATGCACAGAGAACAGCACAGTCCCAGAAACCACAGAGGCAACCCAGGAGCACCAGTGGGAGCGTCCCCTCCTAGCCCCACACTGCATTTCAGCCTTCCACTTCTGTCAACTGCACTTTGGCCACAACACGGTAAAACCCAGATAAATAGCACTCCTTCCCTGACTAGGACCTCCCCGTCTTCAACCAGAAGTTCTCCTTTTCACTTGGGCTAAGACAGTCAAGTCAGGAGGTTGGCTAGTACAAGCTGCTGGGCCAGCACGCTTTGCACCAAGCTCAAGTGCTCCTGACACACATTAAGGGTGTGACATTTTCTCTTTCAAAGAACAATCTCCTCTACAAGTTCACACCAGCGTTCACTATGTATGTTGAAACGTTGGAATTATAAAAAGGTTCCTTCCAATGCTGATGCTGTAGAAAAGCTAGAATGGAAATACGTGAGATACAGACTCATCACTTGACTAGGAAATTAAACAATCTACTCTACAGAATGAACCTGTGATGGGTTCAAAAATACCAGAACCTATTTCTTTTCCTAAAATGCTATTTAAGAAACTAGTAAAGATAGTATTTTAGAAGGAGACTCCTCTTCAATATATGACTATTAGTTATGCTCTTAAACTAGATTAAAAAGGAAATTGTTTTGAAAATCTCCACACCCTAAACCAGACCTGACAGTGTATACCTGTAATCTCAGTACTCAAGTAAAGTGAGGCTGGAGGATGGGGGTAAGGGTGGAAATCCACGGACAGCCTGGCCTACATAAGGTCTCAAAAATATAAAAATAAATAATGAAGACAAAATAACAACCAAAAAAAAGCAAACCTACCCATCCCAAACCTCTCACTGCAACTAAAACAAAATAAGATGCGCCCACATAGCAACCTCACACTGCAAGGTCAAGGTATCAGTCTGGTGTTGGGGGTCCTACTTTATTTTTCTCGCAAAAACCACACTGACAGTACATCATCTGTGATTTCTAATTTTTGTTTCTTACATGTGGAAAGAAATCTCACAAATACCTGAAGAGCAAGCTGTCAGAATCTTCCATAGCCTGTTTGAGGTTTTTGCTTCCAATCATTGAAGATTATCTCACCCTCACCTATTTCAACTGTAACTGAATTTAAGCTATTCTTGTCTTGAAAGTAGTCATCTAGTTCTGATACAAACATACCAGTAACTGCTGCTAACAGTTTGTCAAGTATAAACACAAACAATCCTCAGGAAGCATACAACAACTAGGGGGAAAAACATCCAAAGGCAAACTGGAAAGTGGTCCTCTGCCACTGAATGTAACACGGGCATTCATCAGTTAATTCCACAGCAGGAAGAGTATCATTTAATCTCTTGAGTGGGTGAAGCAGAGGTCAATATAAAAGACATTCTGGAACAGGCCCTTCCCAGGAGTCTGGTTTTTCTACTTACCAATCAACTTTCTAATAATTCATACAACCAGCACTTGTGGAGTAAAAGGAAAACTTACACAGCTACTTTATGTGTATTTTCTGAATTTTGATGAAAAGTATAATAGAACTATTTCTCTCTCACGCTATGTATGTATATGCACATGTGTATACATGTGCATGTGTGTAGCTATCAGCTAAAAAAAATACGCGTAGGTATCTAAATAAACATAAAAAATTTAAACACAACTTCAAATATAACATTAACACTATAAAAAAGTATTAAAATTTAAGAAAAAAGCATTAAAATCTCATAGCAAAAGCTACCATGAGATATTACCTAATTCCATTAAAAGATAGTTAAGGGGATAAATTAGCCATATTTTCTTTAATTATAACTGATACATCATTCATAAACAAAATGACCAAAAAGTATATCTAAACACCTCAAATCCTTTGGCAAGAAGTCTAAAATGATAAGCAGGATATAGAAGAGAACAACATAATCAATTACTTACTACAGTCAAAAAAATCAATCAGTATATATTTGCCTGGTGTTCCATAATAAGAGGGAACTCCAACATTCAGTTTTTAAATTCTACCCTTGAGAAGATGACTAGAAAGAAAGTCTAAGACAGTTTCTACTGTTTGTAAAAATTATCTATTCCTGCATGTAATTCCATTATTCTACCTAGAAAATGAGTTGGTTCATTAGTGCTCCAAAGTCACTTCACATATATGGATAATATTCTAAACATTAAAAATTCAAGTATGGTTTTCTGTCTTGTAGATCAGGACAAAGGTAATGCTCTGAGATAGCTTAAGTTACAAGAACCATAGTGCCTGTACTTACAGAATTTCTACAATTAAAAATAAGACAGATACCCAAAAACTTTTACTTCTGAAGAAACTATATCTTGAATATATACTACTAATAGTGCATATATATTCAACAGTATCAAGTAATACCACTGCCTGCTAAGTGCTTGAGAAAGAACAAAGAGATGGAAAGTTGGGAGGGGATAATTGAGGATTTAAGACTAGATAGTCAGACAAAAAAAAATAAAATAAATATTTTGCTACTCCCATGACAAATATTTTCAACTTGTTACACTCGAGAAGACTATTTCTTGTTCTTGAAAATGGGAGTCACATTATCTAATTAACAGTTACTCTAACATCATTTACAATCTCTGTAGAGGAGGTATTTAAATTATAACAGATACTGAGTTTTGAGAAAGTTCAATGTAATACAAAGTCAGTTACAATTTTGAAGGACTTAGAAACATAGAAGGAAAATAAATCTTCCCGGTAACATAATTCTTCATGCATTCAGAAACTAAAATTGTGAAGGCCTTAGTTTTTCCAGCACTCTTCTGATAATAATTAAGCTTGAGATTAAATTATTTTAGGGTTATCTGACATTTAAAATACTGAAATAGTCATACGTATTTATCTGGAACTGTGGACATTTCTCCTTTTATCATCCCACTGTTACAGCTAAGACTCTTCATTACAGCGTCTTTCCATTTCATTTTATGCAAAGCAAATACCACTCTCAAATGTATGAACAATAATAAAACTGTCCTACAACTTTTAACTTGTTTTATTTAACATGAAATGCTGAAAGCATCCTCTTTACTTAGTTTAACACATGATTTGGGAAAGCCCTTTGAAAGGAAATCACCACTCATCCCATCCAGGGAAAAAAATATGAACCAAAAAACTACAACAAACTCCTGGTGTCTTCCCAGTATGGAAGAGATTGCAGGACAGATCAGAGGGCATCCAGGGAAATACTGGAGCGCTTCTCATTTGTTCCTGAGTCACATTTTTACAGTCTGAATTGTTTCATGTAAAACCAATTACCAGATTACACGACACACCTACATTCAAAAGCAAGTTAAAAAATACAACAAAGCCATGTGTAAACTGCTTTAGAACATCTCCATTTCTGGTTTCCTTCAATAATGTAAAAGACAGCAAGTTGACTATTTTTGATAGAATGTGTTTCGTTAAACTTACTATTCCTATTTGATCAACTGACATCAACAAAGAACATAGACATTTGGACCTTCACACCTCAAACTGACTCATTTTTAAAGCCAAGGCCTTCTGGACTTCCACAGCTTGATCTCCACCTACTTTCACAGCTTCCTCTTCCACAAGGACCTCCTGGAAGCAGCCCTCTCAACAGCCAGCTCAACAGGTCCTATGGTACCCAACTACATACCTGTGTTCAGACCACTCCCTTAGCCTAGGAAAACACTGCCCTCAGATCCCATTTTGCCTATTAAAACATTTTAAGACCCAGATGGGGTGTACCCTGCTCCATACTCATTCATAATTCCTCAGTCAAAAATTACTATCTTACATACAAACACACACACACACACACACACACACACACACACACCCTCTCATGCTTCCATGCACCTCTAATAAAACCCACAGGAATCTGGTGTGGCAATTATTTCTGAGTACGCCTGCTTCTACTTTCAAGCAGCTACTAAGTCTCAATCCACATCTTTATATTCTACCCATTTTTCCAATATCACCACATGGCAAAAGTCCTGTACATATTGAAAGGGCATGAGGTGAAATAAATTATTCCTTGATTCCATACCAGCATTTTATTTTTAAAGAATAAATGACTTATATGTTTGAAGATTGTGTTTATAGTGTTAATGCTCACAAATCTAATTTTAAAAGTCAATAATTACTTGATCCATTTTTTTTTTTTTTTTTTTTGCTGAAAAAATGGCAGAAAAGGTCAATGAGCACAATGTATCAGTATGGATAATCATTCAATTCTCCCTCAAAAAACTCTCACTTACTGCAACATTACAATGAACTTTTCTATCTCAGTCTAATAGGAACTGCTTCTACCTTACACAGACTCAGAAATTTAAATTCACTTAAAGCAAAAGTTACATATACAATCTAAGAAATATACTAATACTATACAAAGCATTGGACACCATTCTTCTAATGCCCGTAATTTTCATCTTTTGTGCAACTATTAAGGCTAACATACACAAAAGATAAAGATAGCTTATCTTAGCTCAAGATAAAACAAAAAAAAAAGATAAAGCTGAAACAAAATTTAGAAATAGTTACAAAACACTCTAAGCACATCTTTCTTTTAAAAAAAAGTATCAATGTTACAAATCAGATCTGATGCTTTGGTGGAAATTTTCTCTTAAATCAGTTGCACATATAATTCTAAATTATGCTTATAATAATCTGTGTGATATTTTTCTTCCACAATAGATTTATATATGTAGAAAACCAATTTCCTTCAAAGAAACATGCAATAAATGGCTTTAAAAATTGATGATTTTAATTTGAAAGTTTTCTACTTTATAATTCAATTATCTTACTATGTATTGTCAAATACCATACTCACAAAAACTGCAAAAGTAAAAGAAATAAATGACCTGTCTTCTTGATTTATTAAAAACAAGTAGATTTTTCCAACAGAAGGTTTAAAGAGGCCACTGGCTGAACAGGCTGGATACTCATCACAACAGAGTTAAAACTAATTTGCACAGCATAGCAACAGTGCCTCTGTGTCTGTCTGTATGTCTGTCTGTGTCAATCTGTCCTTTGCTCCCCCATTAACTTTTCTTCCTTCCCTATAAGGTGAGGTAGGAAAACTGGAATGACTGTGACACAGGCCTAAACACTCGAATCACAAGAGCACACACACAGACACCTCCATCACCACACTACTGACAAGAAATGTGGGAGCTGCGGACCCCAAAACTCGGTTCCTGCATGCCACCTGCCCTGCATCCGGGATAAACAAACCAGCCACTGCACCGCCACGGGACCCCTCGCGGCGGCCGCGCCGCCTCCGCCCGCAGCCCAGCGAAGTTCCGAGGAGTCGACGGCTCCGCGGAGCAGACAAATCCCGGCGCCCGCCCTGCGCGAGCGAGCGCCGGGAAAAGCTACCCCGGCCAGCAGCTACCGCCCGGCTCCAAGCGCCCTGCGGACTCGTCAGGGAGCCCCGGCCGCGCGCGCCCACGCGGGCAACTTTCGCCCCGCGCCGCCACCCGCCACCCGGGACCCGGGAACCGGACCAGGACCGGCCCACACGGCCCCACCCGCAGCAGCCGCGACGACGCCAGGCCGGGCCGGCTGAGCCCAGCGCGCACGGGCAGAGGCGCCTCACCTCAGGCGCGGCCGCCAGCGGCGTCGGGTCGTTCCGGAGCCTGTCCGCCCGTCCGGCGTCAGTGGTGGCGGCCGCGCATCAGCCGCCGGCGGCCGAGGGCCGGTGAGCGCGCAGACAGGGGGCGGCGAGGCCGGGAGCACGGCGAGAGAAGCGACGCGGCGGGCCCGGATCGGTCTGCGCCCTCCTCCCGGGGCCTTCTACCGCCGCCGCTGGCCGGAGAGTCGCCGCCCGGACCGCTGCTGCCGCCACCGATGCAGCCGGGAATGAATGCACAGCGACGCCTCGCTTATCCGGAGGTCAAACATCCTTCTGCCTCGAGCATCCGGATCGGCGCCGGACCCGGAAGTGAACACACGGGGAAAAAAAATAAAAGAGGAAAGCGCCTCTCTAGCGGCGGCGGTGGCGGTGGCTGCATCGGCCCCCCATTGCCCGCAGCAGCGAAAAGAGCCGAGCCCAGCCGAAGATTACATCGACCTGTTTGGATTGGTCAGATCACCAACAGGAAGGCAGGCAGCGTGCTCATTGGCTGGCGCGGCTTCTAAAAGGCCAAGCCTCACCCACTCCCCGCCTTCGCGCTGGTAGCTCCTGAGGCTGAGCGGGCTGCGGTCATAGGTGCAAATGTTATTCCGGACAAGTTTAAGGGAGAGGCAGCTTAGCAAATTCTCTGGAGGGTGCTGGAGACAACGCTTCCATGGGTTAAGAGAGCTAAGAATTCAGTGGGCAAATAACCTTAAGGGCACCATTGGTGCCAAATTTAAGTGCCTGGCCTTCCGCAGGTGCCAAGGGATCTTAGGGCCCCGACTGGAAGAATGACATCACTAGGTTGACATTTTCTCCTACTTCTTTCTCACCCCAGTGCTGTATCACAGAGTCGAGTGCTTAGAAAAACTAACAGTAGATTCGATTTGCATCGTGATTGCTGTCTGTGAAGAGCGCCATTCACGCCATTCACGAGGTGAGGTAATCCACATGGTGTGGTAGGTTAGCATCCCAGTTTTTCCCGAATGAACCCCCTGGAATTCCAAGAGGCTAAACACAACTCAAGCCATTCATTAAGTTATAGACTGATGGAGTTATTTTCTGACGACTCTTTCCAGTCCACTCAGCCCACACAGAAAGCACAGTATTACATTCTTCTCTAGTTGATAAACTGAACCACCACCAAGGTGTTATAGGGGACTCAAGCTCTAATTATTTAGATTGTTACACTTATGTCTGAAGTTCTCTCAAAAATTAGACATGGTGTGCACCAAGAAAATTTAATGCTTAAAGATACTTACTTGTGTATTGTTGACAAATTCACTGTTACAAGAGATTTTAGTATTAGGTTTATTTCTCTCAAAATTTTAAAGGTTCCAGTGAAACAAATGCCTTTTAAAATAATTGCGGATTGATCGCTTATTCTCTCCCTGCCTTGCCCTCTTCAGAGGGAAAGATGATCTTTGTTTTTGTGTTGTATGATGTGATGTGACAGTGAATTTTTTACCATTGTCCTGCTGTTTCCCAGAGGAGAAGGTCGAGAAGTGACCGGTTTACCAGCCTTGGAAGAGTAATGGTAAAAAGCAGTGAAGGGTCCTGGGGATATAGCTTAGTGTTAGAGTAAATGTGCCCATCAATTGACATACTCCCGAAGTTTCTGATCAATCACAGGACCAACGCTAGTCAGGACACAAAATTAACCCAGTCTCCTGAATGGAGAAAAAATGTCTGCAGTGTAGAAAACAATTTCATAAAATTCGTAAATGTTTAAATATTGTCCTTAATTTCCACCAAACCATTTTGTATTCTTTGCCTCAAAAATATCCTTTAACTAAAGGATGCCAACTCGTCTAAGTTTTGATAAACGCTTAAGAAAAGTAAAAATTGATAAAACCATTTTTAAATTAGAAATTAATATGAATGTTTATATTTTTTAACATTGTAATAGATCTTCATTAAAAATTTAACCTAGAGGGGCTGGGGATTTAGCTCAGTGGCATAAGCACCTGCCTTACAAGCAAGTGGTTGTGAGTTCGATCCCCGGTACCGAGTAAAAAAAAAAAATTGACCTAGAAACTCCTATAATAAAAATTGGCAGGTAACATAGATAGGAAGTAACGAAATTTTCATTCTATTAACTTGTAAGAAAAAATAGACAATGTGAGAACAGTTTATATGAGTGATGGAAAAGCCAAACTAAAACTATTTTAGTTTTAACTAAACTCTGTTATAGTTCAGAGTCTCAACATAAGCAGACAGTTCTTATTTTCCATATGCTGTATCATAAAATAGTTGATTTGTTGTTACCCCATTTCCTAGCATTGTTAATCTTCAGATGTTTATATTCTTTTATTTTTTTCAGTACCAATTTAGTATAAATCTGTGTATTCATGCTGTGACAATCTTTTATAACATACTGGAAATCTGAATTTGATAAATTTGTCTTTTGACAAAAGCTTTCTCTTCGTGTTCTACAAATGCTTTGTTTTGTTTGGGAGAGAATGCTATATAGATTTTATGAAAAAGCTAGCCATTTCCCCTTCTTGGTAAGCAATGAGACTTTAAGTAAGAATAAAAAAAAAAAAGAAGCAATTTGGTGAGGGTTCTAAGCAGAAAAATATGAGATATTTACTTAAACTTTTCAAAGTAAAAACACATGAAGCATTCATTTTCTTCTTCCAAATACTTTGAATATTAATTCTGATAGAATGAGGTACTAGTTGGCGAAGGGTAAGACCTGAGGCATTATATACTTTTTTCTTTCTCAATATCTGTCCTTTCTCAGTGGTAGCTATCTATAATATTTTAATATCCTATTTCAGCATTATCTATCTGTAAAATCTATTTCAGTATTATTATTTTTTCAGTGTTATCAATGTTAAATAATTAAAGAAAGGTACATGACCAAGTAGAAGGAGGAAGGATACAAAATAAGACGTTGTAAAAGTAGCCAAAAGCTAGGAGCAGAGAAAGGTGTTTTACTAACTTCTTGCCCAGTGAAGCCTGCAGTCAGGAGCAGAGACAGGCAGGATTCTGGCAGGAAGCTAATCACATACAGCAGCTGGGTCAGGTTTCGGTAAAGCTATCACTTAGCAAACTTACTTTCAGATTTTTACATAAGTACATCTAGAGAGAGTCAAGACACTGGTTTATACCATCAGTGGGAGGATGCGTATAAATATTTTGTGGGTAGAAAAATGAATACACAAGAATCACAAAACTTTCTTCAGGCTCTATTAGAGTTCATAAAGATGATGTTTAGAAATTTTAACTATCACTTTTAGAATCGTAGTTCAAGATGTGCCATTGTTTGAATGTGTCCCCCAAAAGTTGACATACTGGAGTCTTCATTTCTAGTGCAGCAGTGCTGGGAAGTGTTGCCTGATGGGTAGTGTTTGGGTCATGGGGACGGAGCCCTCACTGCAAGAGTGAGTTCTCTCTGTGTGACTGCAAAAGCTGCCTTAGAGCAAGTTGTTACAAAGCTGTCATCATGCTCCATTGTGTGTGTCCCCTTCCTTTCCACTTTCTGCCGTAAACTGAAATAACATAAGGCACCACATGTAGGAACCCGATTTTGGACTTCCCACACTCCAGAACTGTGAGCCAAAATAAACCCCTGTGCTTTATAACTAAGCCAGTCTCAGGCAGCCTATTACATAAGTGGAAAGTGAACTAAGACAGACTACTATAACAAAATGTAATAGAGTAAGTTGCTTAAACAATAGAAGTGTATTTTCTCACAATTCTGGCCATTGGAATTCTAAGATCAGGGTGGTGGTAAGGTTGGGTTCTAGGGAGGGCTTTACTCTGGATTTCAGATTGGTGTTGTCTTCATCTCTTCACATAATCTCAACTCACATATGTCTGTGTATATAAGCATGAAGAGACAGAGTGACCTCTCTCATCCCATCTTAACCCCATCTGAGCACCTGCATTCATGATGTTGCTTAATCACCTCTCAAAGGCCCCACCTCCAAATACCATCACATTATGGTTTAAGGTTTCAGCATACATATTTTGGGAAGATAAAATTCAGTCCATAGCGCCCCTCAAAGGAATACTGTCCATGCAGAAAGTAAATCATCAATAAATAAAAGAGATGGTAAAAGATACATTGTTAAGAGAAAGTAACTTGTGGACAGCAAGATTAAAACCTCATGAAGGACAAGATTACATTCTTAAAAGAACTTCAATGAGACTATAGAGGAAAGCTATAAACGTGATAAAAAGGTAAACATGCCTTGTCAAAAATAGTGACCAACTCTTTAGCTAGACAATTTAATTCTTGGTTTTTTTTCCATTTGCAGACCTGAATTTTGGCATCTTTTAATCAAGATTGGCTGTCTGAAGAATGTTGTTTCATAATAAAGGGAAGTTAGCTAAGGCTGTTATTTTTTCTTTAATGGTTTCAATAATAGCTTAAATTCTGGGTAATATGTGACTCTGATGAACATAGCAATTAATCCCTATTCCATTTTCCCTCCCCTTGTTTTCTCCTGACCCCCATAATTGTGTCTTCCTATATCCACCTCAAGACCAATCCAAATTCATGAGCCAAATCTAAATACAACTAAGTGTTTTTTCAGGGCCAGTCCTGAGAAATCACGAAGTCTTCTGGCTGAAGATTTGGAGGGCCAAGTATGAGGTCTGCCTTACAGGTGGATGTCAAGCTCTGCCACTTACCTGTCTCTAAATGTTTTCCTGGCTATAGCCAGGATTCTCCTTTGGTCACCTCTCCTAATTAAAGCTGTATATTTTCCATACCACTGTAAATAAGGTACAAACTTTAAGCTTGGTTCGGAAATTTTGTCACTAGCTCCATTTCTGACTAGATCTGACTTCTCCGGATAAGGTCCTACTATGATGGATTATTTTCAGACTACTGAATAGCATCATTATCCACTGACCAGGATTACTGGGTTACTCTATCCTTCTGCTAGCTAGGACTGCACTGCTGCTGATGCTTGTCTAAGCCCTGTCTGACCTTCATGTGCCCTTTGAACAGTAAATAGGGAAGTCAGCCTCTTTGTCTAATTATGTTTCTTTAATCTCTGTCATATTTGATCAGGCTTGGTCTTAACTGCATCATTCTTTTCACCAACTTGTACTGCTGAATTCCTGGCATGTCATCATCCTCCAATTTAATCCTATTATAGTATTGATTCTATATCTGATTGAACAAAATCACAAAGTCAACAGAAGTTAAAATTGATGCAAGAGTAGCCCTCACTTCTAGTTGCTCTGTTTCACTGCTGTAATTAGGATTATGCTCCTCTTCAGGATCTGTAATTCTTCCTTGCACAAGTTTTTAAGTAGTCTAAACTTCAGTTCGTCTATAAAATTGGACTTTAATACCTATATCATATTTGATATCAAAAAGGTTAAATGCAATAATGTGTCAGTAATATATTTTAATATTTCATATGTAATAAGCACTAAATAACTGTTGTTAGATACTGTCTGATCCTTAGGAACTTGTATTTTTCAATCCAACATGGGTAATAATCAGAAGTTGAAAATGTCAATTATCAAGTTATTGTCCAACTTTAAGAATCTACAGCTTGGGGCTGGGGATTTAGCTCAGCGGCATAAGTGCCTACCTTGCAAGCAGGCAGTAGTGAGTTCGATCCCTGGTACTGATAAAAAAGACAAAAAAAATAAAAGAGTCTACAGTTTAGAACTGGATTTATAACCCTAAGGTAAAACATTTTTTATTTGATTCAGGCCCTATTATTCTTCTTTTTACCAACTGTCTATGGACATTTATGGGATACTGGCTATCCATTGTCTGTTTATAATTTCCTAGTAGATTTCTACTTAGATTTCTTCTAGTTGAATTTTTGCTGCCTCGCTCTATTCAGTGGCCAGAGTCCCTGTTTTCAGTAAGGGTGTTATAGATGAGGGATGATCTATGGGGAATACAGTGCCCAAACAATGCCCACTGAATACTTTTTCTCTAGATTTGAATCTTGAACAGAGGAACATGGAAACTAAAAACAGAAGGGCACTCCATCTGAAAAGCAGTTCTCTGGTCACACAGTTCCTGCCACAAAACAGCGGTGATTATCCTACTTCTCCATCTCTGGAGAATGTTGGCTTCTGTCTAGACCATGTTTTCCAACTTCCGTCAATTCTGCGAGACCCTCGTCCCAGCTCCTTTCACTAAACTCCATTTTGCTTGCAATACGCAGACTGTATTTTCATTCCTGGCCTTTATTCCAACTCTCCTCTGTGCCTCCCAAGTAGCCTTTCCTTGAGTGATCCAGGTGAACACAGTTCAAAGTCTTAGTTCAGCCTTGGTTCATTTCTTCAGCTTCTCTCTAATATAATCTTTATCTCGTCGTGAGGCTCTCTGACTTCAAGCTTGTGTTCTCCTTATTGACAAAGCTGGTCATGCCCTGCAAAGCCTTGTATTTCAGTGCAGCTGCCTCCTGTCACCAGGCAGCTCTACCTCAGCTTCTTGCTGAAACCCTGCCAATTTCAGACCTAACCCTGTGGACTGTGACTTAATGCTTTGTAGTCTGCCAGTTTAGGTGACCTGATCTAACTGGGAAGAAATTTCAACCAAATGCCAACTCTTGCTGCTTTCTAGAATGATTATTTTTGTATACATTAGTGTATATTTGTCAGTTGATATAATAACAGCCAATATAGTCCCGTATCCCTTTTCTTATACATAAATTATTCTCTTCTGATCCTGCTGACCCAGTTTGCAAAGAAATATCAACTGATCTCTTTGCAATGGAATAAATTTTCTGTGAAAAAGTTACTGTAGATATTTGAGTACTTGGTGATGGGGTACAATTTGTTTTTGCAAGCTTCTTAAATCAATTCCGTATTTGTAATGTTAAAGACAATACAGTTGTGGAGTATTTGTACTGTGAACCAAAGATGCAGTCCTCAGGTTTCTTCTGTATGTCTTTAAATCAGACATTAACACCTCACTGGAAATTTATCAGTGTTGTTAAACATGCTACTCAATAGAACCATAATCAAAGATCTAGGAACAAAGCTAGATTTAGAATTCTTTTCCATGTATCATAAAAGCTACTTTGTTTGATTATATGATAATAAATGTAATATATTAAATCAACAAACTAAAACACTTGCCAAAGCAATAAAAATAATTACGTAACAGACACTAGGATTATGATTGGTAAAGGAAAGGACAATAATTCTGAAAATATAAAGTGATTTTTAAAGGTTATGATTCTTAGAGACTTTAAAATGCAATTTTTTATCCTAATATATATACAAAGACAAAAAATTATAAAAAAATTTTTTGACTTTTCATTAGTTATTTTATTGATAGTAGTGTTCACGCTGCTTTTCTGAGTTAATTATATCTGTAATGTGGGATAAAACAGAATAATTCTGGTGTATTCTAACTGTGCTATCTGTGATATTAATACAAATGAAACAGATCAACTAACAGTCTATAGTCTTAAATTTGAGTCGAAAGTATCATCATGAACTCACACATATTTTGTAACTCAGTCCACCCTGAAAGACCCAAAAGGAAGCCTGACTCAGTTCCTATAACACATTCTCCCAAACTTTGTGGCCTAGAGTAAAAATTTATTATTTTATAGGTCTAGAGGTCTAAAGTCCAAAATGATTCTTACTGGTTTAAAATCCAGGCACTAGCAACACTGTGTTCATCTTGGAGGATCTAGGGGAGAATTCATTTGCTATGGTTTTCCAGCTTCTAGAATCTGCATTCCTGTATTCATCTTCAGAGCCAGTATCACACCATTCCAAATTCTGTTTCTGTCATCATAACTTCTCTAACTCTGTGTCTCCTACCTCCCTCTTGGGCTTACCAGGATGCTCGTGATTATGCTGAATCCACAAGGATAATCCAGGATAATCTGTCTCAAAATCCTTAATTTAAGGCTAAATTCCCTTTCCCATTACTATGAGAGAGAATACTTGCACAGTTTCTGAGGGTTAAAATGTGTACACCTTTGGGGAATTATTCTACCCACCACAGCTTCCAAGTAAAGTTGAATGGTTTTAGATTTTAAAAAGGGGGTAGAGTCTGACCCCAATTGCTAAGAAAAGACCTAATATCATACAAATGTCACATCTGGCGCTTAGAATAATTTAACTACTGTTGCATAGTAGCTTTGTATTATGGTAAATGGGGATGCAGTAAAATTATCAACTTCTGAGTATCTAGGTAAAGAATGTCAGGCATTTTCTAGATAACATCTCTCTTAATGATCATAGGTATCCCTTTTCCCTTTTCATAGATAAGAAAAGTAAAGCTCAGAGTTTAGGCAAAGTGTTCAGGTCATCCAACTAATAAGTAACGTAACTAGAATTATGCATAAAGTGTGCCTGACTCCACATTCTTTACATTTATGCTACTTTTTCATGATGTGAATAAGAAGACTCTGGAATGTACTATTAAACTGAGGGATGACTTATACAATCACTCTGCTAGGCTGAACCTGTTCAGGCAAAAGAAGAAAGTGAGAAAAGAAGAGAAGAAAAAGAAGGTTCTGAACTTAGTGACCAAGCAAGCTAAATTTGAACAACTGCAAATGTAATATGTGGGAGAGCATTATGAAAGGAAGCTGAAGGAAAACTCTTTAAGACTTTTCCTAAACTCATTTCAAGATTATAGTACCTGCAGGCAGCACCAGTCAGAGAATTGCTATGGTTTATGGCCCAGAAAATTTTAATCAATTCTTATCCAAAGAATGACAGATTCTTTAAGCCAAGATAAAGACATTTTTTTTTCCTCCCATGACACTAGGAATCGAATCCAGGGCTTTGCATCGAGCTGGATCCACAGATGCTCCCTTTTAATTTCAAAACGCTCTTTCTAAGTCACTAATTTGCCTAGCTGTGGTTGAACACATGATCTTTTTACCTCAACCTGCCAGACTACTAGAATTACGAGCATGTGCCACCACACCCAGAATACATTCTGTGTATATACTTGGCTTTGTTATAGTATTGATTTTTTTCCACCACATATGTATACAGATGGTATTAAGAATTGTTTTAGCAAATATTTTTCAACTTTTGACTGCTTACAACCCCAGGTACCTTTTTCAACTACTATATCCTTGAGACTTCAGTAGGAAGTTGTATTGTTTAGATAAGTATTTGTTCTAACATGTGCTAATGAGGTTTAATGTTGATGAAATGGTGTTAATCTCCTGCCATTACCTAGAAAAGAAGCGTTTGAGTATATAATTTTAACCTAGCTTATCACATTAAACTTAATGAAGAAACTAGTTGAAAGCAATTTTGGAAGATTTTCTAAAAAATACATTGTCCTTCTATTTCTACAGATGTTGTACTCTCAAATTTATGGTTAGATTTATTTGGATATATATGACCTACCTGATTTTGTGTCTCCTCCACTCCCCCAACAAATACTCCTTCAGTAGATTTGCTGTACTACGCTTCCTTTCTGTAATACTGCTTATATTAAGGATCATGAAAAGCAGCCCTACAAAGCTCATTATTTTAAATAGTGTAGGAATATATTTTAAGGACAATATTTATGCTATTGTACCATAACTTTGATATGAGGACCCAAAGTGCATATGTCTTTTAAGTTGCATATCAGAACATGTCCTTTTAAAATAACTGGCTTATTTTACTCTTGCAGGTATCCTAAATAAATTTTTTTCTTTTTTGTTTTGTGAGAAAATAAAATTTCATAACAAAATAAGAGAATACCAATAGTTAATACAGTGTGTCATCTTCTAAGCAGTTACTCAGAGTATAAGACATTAAAAAAGATCAACTTACAAAAAAGAAACATATCAGCATAAAACTTTTCAGCAGACAAAGAAAATAGCACTGTAAATGAAATGAAGAAACGTATAAATTAAAATATTTTTGAAATAGTGGGATAGGTAAATTGGAGAACTACCTAAACCTCTCCAGACTTCCGGTTTCCCTTCTTCCATTTTTCTCCTTATTTGCATATAGATATATTTCTCATGTAAGAGAAACTATGCGATATTTAAACTTACCTGTGACTTATTTCATTTAACATTATGTTCTCAAATTGCATCCATTTACCTATGAATTTCTTAAGGGTATCTTTTTTATGGCAGAGTGGTTGTCCATTGTTTATAAAAACCACATTTTCTTTGTCCATTCATTTATTGGGTTTCTAAATCTAACTATTGTAAATTGTGTTGTTATAAACATGGATGTGCATGTATCATTGTTTATATGATAATTTTAATTCTTTTAGAAAGATACCTAGCAAAGGGCTTGCTGGGTTAAACTGAATTTCTATTTTTAGTTTTTTGAGAACTTTCCATGATGATTTTGATAGTGGTTGCATTGGTATATATTCCTTCCAACAATGTAGAAGCGTTCCTCTTTCCCTACATCCTCATCAGCATTTGTTATTGTCATATTTTTTTGTGATAACCATTCTTTCTGGGTTAAGATGGTAGTTTAAAATGGTTTTAATTTGAATATCTTTAATAGCCTGTGATGTTGAACATTTATTCATATATTTATTGGCCATTTGTACTTCTGAGAAGGTCATTTAATGATTATTTTTGCTCATGATGCTAATTGCTAGGAAGCCTAGAGCTAACTTTGTGGCCTATCTGTAGATAATTACTGTACCTGATGACATGCATTTTAGTTAATCACCTCTGCTATGATCTTCTGTTATGTAGTCTAATTCTCCTGCAACTTTATTTTTATCTTGTTATGATATGGGTATTTTTAATAAACTATCTTGATTGTTTTAAGTTTTTTGGAACAAAATATAGAAAATATGTAGAGTAACAGGTTTCTCTTTGCCTAAGTACTTAGCACACTTCCTGAACATTGTTGGGCTTTTTCAAATTTTGGAGAGTATATTTAAGTTAGTGTGACATTTGCAGGCACTGTGTGAAATGTTTTATGTGCCTTACTTGATTTTCAGAATCCCAGCAACTAGAAACTTTCATAAATCCATTATAAAAATGAGAAATGTAAAGGGAAGCCCCTGAACAGTTTAGGAACATGATATAATCTGATATATATCTGAAGATTTGTCTGGCTTCTAGGAGATTAAACTACAAGGACAGCAAGTTAGGAGGCTACTGGGATGTTGTATGTGCAGCATAGTGACTAGGTCCAGATTGGGATAACAGAATAACGGAGGTGTTGAGAAGTGTTAGATGAAGGAGATACTTCAATAAATGTGTGTGTGTGTAATTGTTAGCTTTGTTATGAGGAAGAAAGGAAAGGAGGTAAAGACACCATTTTTCCTTTTCTGAAAGCCAGTAGCCTGTCAAGAGACTCAACGAAGATTATCAAATATTGGGTGAGTGGCCCTGTCATTCTAGTTCATGTTGCTGTTTGGCCCTAGCCATCTGGGTTATCTTCCAAGGAAAGATTGTGATTTGCTGTGGAAAGAGAAAACTCCTGCCCACCTTCCTTTCTGTGTTCACTTTCACCAAGTGCCACGTCAGTTCTACTTTGAGCAGATGTCGGGGAGCTAAAAGCTCCCAAGTATACTAAGACCCTAAGACTTCTTAGTTGTGTTTTGACATTTCCTTTCCAGTAACGTCCCCTTGTTTAAAACAACTCTTAAATGTACATAGAGCAGTGTAGAGTCTTAACAGCTAGGAAAGTCTCAGGTGAAAATGTGAGAGCCAGTTTAAACCAGTGCCAAGGGTCAACCCTCATGGACATGACTAAAATAAGTTCCTAATGAGTTATCAAGCCCATGCTCTCAGAATACAAAATGTGTTTCAGAATGGCCTACCATGACGTAAACGCCTGTCCCACTCAAGTCTTCATTTTGGTCCTCTTCTTGCCTCAACATATTTTTCTCCTTTATGATCTTTTCATTGTGGTCAGTAATAGTGGTTTCTCATACGTGTCATACAGAGCAAATAGATTATATATTTTATAAATTCTTTAATGGCATGCAAGACTGTCACCATATTGTGGAACTAAAAGCTATTTTGGGATGTGGAAGTCATAGATAGAATCACTATAAGTTTGTAGCTATCTATGATCTAAATGTGTGTTTATGCATTTAGATAATACATAGTTTATATTAGTTATATGGAGTTTATATTAGTTATATAGTGTATATATCATTCAGCCACATTAACCTCCAAAAAGCCTGCTAGATCTACATCCTTTTTAAAATAAAGTTTTGTTGATTTCTGGTAAAGTACATGGAATTTTTTACCTTTCATTTCGTCTCTTACAAACTGTAGATTTCCTACTTCACTTTGGAGCCCATTCTAAAGAGTAATCTGTAGTCTCAGATTGAGTGACTTGGTAAAACTGGTAACGTTACTAGAAGTAAAGCACAAGAGTAAATGGTCCTCTGCCTTGGAAGCTATGTCAGATCTAAACGTTGTGAATTTAACTCCATTTGAATCTCCTTACAGAACCTAAACTGTTTCCAAGATCACTTTGGGTTCAAGTCATTCACAACATAGGTCTCAAGAATCTACACTGGAACACACTCCCAGGATACTTCCTCTCTGACCTATTATCAGTTTTTTTCTGTTCTACTTGTCTCAGAGGAAAAAAAAATCTACCCAATCACCTAGATGGGTATGAATTGCTAAGGTGACCCTCAAATAGAGTTAACATTCTAGTTATCTTCAAGCTGAAAAGTAGCTTTTTATAATTACTAATTTTTAGATATCACCTCCCCTATATTTTTCCCTAAATCTTACATATTTTTTCAATCTGTTGAATCACCTATATTTGAAATAACTACAGTGAGTGAGTTCTATTTTCCTGATTGGGGACCAGCTAATAAGAAGTCTAAAGCATTGCCTAAAATGAAAGCAACTCCCTAGGGCTAACATGATACTCAAAATTCTCTCTCTCTCTCTCTCTCTCTCTCTCTCTCTCTCTCTCTCTCCCTCTCTCTCCCCTTCTCTCCCTCCCTCTCTCCCTCCCTCCCTCTCTCTGTCCTCCATCCTCCCCCTTCCTCTTTCTCCTCTGTCCTTTCTCCTTTCTGATTCTATTGGCAGCTTCACTTTTAGCATAATTCCTAATCTATATGTCTTTCCTATCTGTAGCTATTCATGTTCTGCTATTTTGGTCTGGCCAATTCCCTACATAGATATCTGTTTCTATCTTTTTGTTCCCTGGATCCTTACGAAAAAATTTTCCAATGTTGGACTAGTACTTCATTCCCAAATATCCCAATTGCTATGGCTTGAATGAGTCCCCAAAAATTCTTGTGTTGGAAAATTAATCCCCAGTGCAACAATGTGGAGAGCCTGGCTTTAAGAGATGATTATGCCAAGAAGGCAACCCATTGTTTTGGGGAGGAACTAGTTACCATGGGGTGGGTTGCTGATAAAAGGATGTTTTCAGCCAATTCCTCTCATGTATGGATGTCACTTTGCCTTCTGCCAAGGATGATAGAGAAAGCAAACCCCATGGGACTCTACAGTGAGCTGCAGGCCTTCTACTGGATCCTTCAGTCCCAGCACTGGCAGCCCTTCTGCTCCTGCTGCCTTCCATACCTGACTCTGCAGGTGGCCATTGTAGGCCTACCTTGCAAATCCATTTCTGTTATTTTATCTTATATATATATTAAAATGAAAATAATGTTATATTAAATCTGTTTCTTTAGTGAGCTCTGACTGATACATGTAGACAGGACCTTCCTCAGTTTCACCTCTCACAATCACAAATGTATAGGCCACTTAACTCCTCCAATGTGAGTATGCAGCGTAACAACAGTAAGTGTTTTAACAACTAGTATCAGGAGAAGGGGGCGGATAGAGCTATGCTTTAGAGAGCTGGCAAATTTCCATTGTGGGAGTATTATTACCTTGGTCAATTTCAAGCTACTATTGTGACTTTAAACATCTTACAAAATTCTTCATTATTTAGCAGTGAGCTCCATAGCACACTATTATTTTCATTTGACTATTTCTGGGTGTCAGATGCTAGAAAATCTTCTGTATGTTGGTATTCATCATGGCTAGCTTTTTTCCTTTACTCTTTATCGAGGTAATAAAATGCTTCTTCCTATAGTGTCCTTTTACAGAGCAAAAATCCTGAAAATAAAGCTTTTTTAAAAGTTTCCTTATTAGTAAAACTATCCTCTGATGATAAATATTAGTATGATTAACTGCCAAGAATTTAGAGACTATGGAGTACATTGTGGAAAGACTGATAATATAATGACTGCTAGAGTCTAAATGGTGCCTTTAGCACCATTAATTTTACAAGCCTATGCAATTTGTACCAACTATAAAATATCTAATAGTAACAGGTTTTTAAAATGTTAACTAAGGTCTTTATTTCTCTAATCACCTCCAAAACTACTCCTGCTTCTTCAACCTCTGTCAACCACTGCTCTACCCTCCATTTATAAAGTACTCTTATTTCAAAAATGTTTAAATAGAGACACACAGTATCTAACCTTTTACAATTGACTTGTTTCTCAGCATAATTTCCTGGCAATTTATCCAATTTGTTGCTAGTTTCAATAATCCATTCCTTTTTATCACTAATTAGTATTCCACAGCATGTCATAATCAGTTTATTTAACCATTCACCTGTAGAAAACAAATGAGCTGTTTCTAGTTTTTAACTATTATGACTAAACTACTCAGAATATTTGTGCACAGGTTTTTCTGTGAAAGTGAGACTTTATTTTGGGAGGATAAATGCCTGAGAGTGTAATTGCTAAGACATATAATAGGTGTTTAATTTTATTTTAAGACACTGTCTATTGTGGTTTCTATCCAGATGTCCCCCCAAAGCCTCATGCACTCATCAATGGGGCTTTGGGGAGTATCTGGATCGTAGGTGTGTGATACTAGATCATGGGGTGTGATACTGGATTGTCTACTGATTGGTGTAGCATAGTTGTGGGTGTGGCTAAATGGGTTTACTGAAAATGGAAGGCACACCCTGGCTGTGAATGGAACCAGCTAGTAGGCTTGTAGGCTGAGTGGAATAACAGGAGAATAGAAGGAAGGTTCCTGCTCCCTGTCTGCCATATCATGAAGTATTCCTTCTCTGCTGTGGCTCTCCAGCCCCTTCTGAGTCTCCTCTTCTGCCTGTGCCTGCTTTGCTCTGTGTCTCTGAATAAGACGGAGGAGACTCAGGTGCAACAAAGAAGCAGCCTGTCTCTTCAGGTAGCTTATGTCCAGAGAGAGTCCAGTTCAACCCACTTCCAGAGTATGTTAAGCTCACCCAATAATATTCGGAGGACTCTACTGTGATCCAAGGCAAGTATTAAACCTACCTGACCTGCCTATTATTGCTAGGTTGAGAGTCAACTTAGGTCTGTATGGCTCTGCTCTGTTGTATTTCCATAAGACATCCTGCCAACGTGCTGTGTTGTAGAGATCAAGAGTCCCGAATCACATTGTCTCCTCATCACATTTCATGGATATCTTTTGATTTCTTTTGCATCATTTCCAGGGATTACAGTTGTGCTTAGTGGAGAGGAGAGGGAAAGATAGGTATACACTATCTTTCCAGATGGGAAGTGACCTTCACTTTTAATCACTGAAGCCCAACAATTGAATCTGTTCCCCCAAAGGCTTAATTACTTGAATTCTCCATAGACAAACAAGGACTTAATATGAAGAGGAGAAAGAACATAAAACAGAACCATGCATCATGGGAATTAACCTCAAGATGTTACAGCACAAATAGGAAAACAAAAAAGGCCAACCATATGAAATGGGAGAAAAAGCCCTTTTTATTTGTTACAGTTGCTGGCCAACTTATCTTTTCTTCATAATAACTTCTCTACTTC